TGATCCATTTATCTATTTTTCTTAAGTATTTTGACACTAAAAGAACACCACATGTTGTAGTCATGTTCCACTGTTTGCTGTGCAGAAAACCTGGTCCCTAACAAAGAAACAATACCCAGGAAGCTCCTTTTACCTTCTGGAAACAGAAGAATCCTCTACCCTCTCTCTCTCTAAGCAAGACAGATTGTTGTAACCATTAAAGTAACTCTTTCCAAATAGCACATTGAAAATATTTGCTTTGGGGCAAGTAGATCATCCATTGAAATGTGTATTTCTACCTGAAAGTTCACTTTCTTCAAAATTGGTTCCTTTGCTTCAAAATTCTCACTGGAATCGATCCCCAGTTTTAACACTTAGCTTCATATGAGTCTTAATTCCTTTAAGACTAAAGAAACCTGTCTGCCATTATGATGATGTTTTAAATTATTGATTTCTTTTGTTTTCATGGTGCAGGATCAGCTTTGGTTATGGATCTAGCTGCATCATTGTGGCTCGAGGACAGACAGTGTATTTTGGCACTTTGCTTTGAGTTTATTCAGTTTATTTCTAATGAAAAAATTGCTAGCAACTAACAAAAGGGCTCAGGCAAGCTTTCCTGCATTCCTTTGCTACTCCTGTAATTTAGTTATACTCTGTGGGCTTTGATAACCAGCTTCTTCCTTCTAAAGCCATTGTAATTTCCTAGTCCCATAGAATGAAAGTGTGAAAATTTGCCATACAGTTCCACGATGCTGATGCATTCATTTGTTCATCAAATATTTATTGAATGTCTACTTTGTGCAAGGACTTGTTTTTAGAATGTGTAAAAAAATGTCTGCCTTTATGTACTTGGATTGTAGTAAAAGAGAAAGGTTACAAAAAAAAATTAAAAACACAAAAATATTTTATTTTAAACAGGATAAAGATACTAAACTATTTGTAATACCATAATCTACAAATAATTTAAGTGTTAAGCAAACTATAACCTCAAGAATTGGGTTTCTCAACAAGGAGAACAGAATAAGGAGAAGGAAAGGAAATCATATGGAAGGTGGGGAAACAGTTTTTCTGCACTTTCCTTAAAGTCTAAATGCTTGCTCAGCTTCTTATTCTCAGTAAAGATCCATGGTCTCTTGGAATTTTGTTCCTTTTTTCTGAACAATAAGAATGGAGATTCTCTGTGTATGTAAGTACATCCATATGCATTCATTGGCTGTTTGAAAATGAACGATAATGCTTTAGGAAATGAGTTATTTAGCTTAAAGGAAGCAGGAGCACTGGCTTTAGGTGCTGTGGTCTTACTATTTCAGGCTATGGAGAAAAGAACAAATGTGGCATGTTATAGGCAGTGCCTGATAATGTAAATTCTGCATTTCAGAAAAAAGAATAACACTTGAATTTTAAATAAAATATTTAACACTGTGAAACACATCAACATTTATTATGGATATTTATGATTGAGTTTTCATTTAAAACCTACTTAGTATAATTAATTTATGCATCTTAGTACAAATAATACAGTGTTTGTTTGTTTATTTATTTATTTAATTTGAATCACATTTAGTCTTTTTCATAACAATGAGGTGTAGTTATTTTAGGAGGTTCTGGTCTGAGAATAAGGCACAAAGAAATTTTCTGGGGGTGATGTGAATGTTGTATGTCTGGATCAGAGTATTTATTACATGGGTAGATGTAAATCTAAAACGTCATCAAACTGAAATTTTAGGTTTCTGTCATTTACTCTGTTTAGTATATATGTCAAAGAAAAGTGGTGGTGAGGAGAAGAAACCTATGTTAGTCTTCCAGATGTATGTTAAATCAGACATCATAAATTTGAAACCCTGCAATTCATGTAAAACCAATTAAATTTAATAGTCCCTTCCCATTTACTTGCTCAATGACATGATTTAACAAAGTGTACAGCTGCTAGCCCTCTGTTTGATTATTGGAGCTCATTGTGTTCTAGATGAAAAACTTGTCTTAAAGGAAATGCAGGTAAGCAAGGGAGAAAAACTAACTTGTGAGCTCTTAAACAGGATTCGGAGATCGTTTCATATTTGTGGGGATTTTTCCTCAGTGTGTTCAGTCATCTGTGCTGTTAATAAAATTCTGTGTCAGTTGGGATTGTTAGATCTGACACAATGGCAGGAGTAATTACGTGAGTTCTCTGCTCCCTGAACAAATGTGGATAGTTCACTTTGCAAAAGAATCCAGTGCAGGGAGCCTATAGTGATGAATAACAGAGTTGAGTTGTCACAATAGCAACTGCACAGTCTTTAAACTACACCCACCTCTATTACTATTTTCTAATTTCTCAAAGTTAAGGCTTTCAAAATTATAATGATTATAATGAATTTTCCAGATTTTCTGGTGTTGATCCACTTTAATTATCCACACTATCTGAATATTGCTATATGCCAACCATTGTAGTTTTTCCGTTTCTTTCTTTTTTCATTGAAAAACTATAGCTGTGTATATATTTGGGGGGCTAAAGTGATATTGTGATTTATGTATACAATATGAAGTAATTAAATGAAGCTAGTTAATTTATTCATCACCCTCAAATGCTTATTTATGGTGAGAATATTTGGAATTTACTCTCAGCAATTTTGAAATGTACAACACATTATTTATTAAATTCAAAATATTGTAAGTAAGTCTCACAGAAAACCACCCCTTTCTTCCTAATTAAGGCTTTGTACTTGTTTATGGCAATATTTATAAGAAAAAATCGAGAAGAATGTATTATTTCATGATGAAAACATTATGTCTTTGAAAGTGGAAAAGAAAAACAAATTCATTTTAAATCTGTGGATCTTTTTGAGTTAGCCCTATTCCATTTTTAAAAATCAGCTAGTTAGTTATTCATTCATTTATTAGTTACAGATTGTTTTCTTTCTTTGTTCATTGTCCTTATTTTGAAGGGTTTATGATATTAATAGCAAAACACCTGCTTTTTCCAAAACAAGTCTTCATACATGGGAAATATGTAGATACCCTTATATTCACATCTACAAATGAACTTCAAATTGGTAAATATTGGTTTTATTCTTAAAAGTTATATTTTAAGCCAGTTCTTTAAACAAACCACACCTTCTTTGCAACTATGGAGTTTGGATTCTCATTGTGCCCTCAACAAGACATCTTATGCATTTAGCACTGAGGTACACCACAAGATCTGATAATACAATTATAATAGAAAAATATGGAATAAAATAGGATTTTCTAATTTTACCTCTAAACTATTATCTTGAAAAGAAACTTTTCATTTCCTGACGATGAGAAAGCTGATAATGGATTTTATGAACAATTTTAAATAGCCTATACTTGTCAACACAGATACTACAGAATAAATAAAGAATAAAAACAAACAAAAAATAACTATAGTATATACAACAACTAGAAATATCTACTTTTAGCATGGGGTGCATTTGTTTCCAAGATTGAATACATTTTTCTGTAATTGTTGCTTTATGTCATGCTTGTACCTATTACTGTTGTATTTTTATGGCTTTGGCAACCGTCAACATGAACTCTTTATTCTCACTTCAAATCTCAAGTCTTTCATGGCAAAAAATGTATTTTATAATTTACTTGTGCTTGTAAAAAAAAAATACAAAATGAAGCACAAAAAACAAAGAGAAGCAAATTAAATGGTAAACTGAGGATGAGCATAATGGCAAGGGAGACTGAGTTACATGAGACAGTTACATGAATCTTTGGATATGAAAAATGATTGATATACAACAAGCAAAACATGGAGCCATGAATTATTAGTATCAAATGGGAATGAAAATCATATATCCTACTTCCTAATGTAATCAGTGAGGAGCAAATATTTAGCAAGTTTTAATATTTTACTTTGGTACAAATGTAGTTTTAAGCAGTATTGGGAAAGGAACCTAGATCTGTTGATTATCAGTACTAATTGGTGTCTTTGAATCTTAAAAGTACAAAGAATTTCAGAGATGATCACTATTCCCATGACAAACCAAAAGGAAAAGTGTGAAAAAGATATGGTAACTCAATGTGTATCCTGTTTTAAGGCCCAATGTGGAGAAGGCTGGAGCTCAGAATAGTTCAAGGAGGAAATCGATCAGAGTCACCTCCACTGATGTAGAGAGATAAAGACCGTACAAACATGTATCTTTAAGTGGGTTTCTCTCACTCAATGATTATTTGCTCTGTAACTGTAAAAATCCTAGAATGAATGGCCCAATATGTTGCTAATAAATCCATGTGAATTAGTAAATGAAAAGTGTGTAAAGCCAAGTATTTCTCCATTTGATGGAAGGAAAAGTGATGCTTTTCCATTCACATCATGGTACATATGTCTGGGATATAATTATTAAACAACATAAACCTTAGGTCTTCGTTCATCATTGTGGGTGAGAGCTCATTGTTTATATTATAACATTATAACATGAGATGAGCATCATTGGTGGAGAGAATCCAAATCTGTGAGAAATACTCAGAATCTGGATGTGAGGCCTTAATGAAATGTGAAAATATTTTGAAAAGTTGTCTATAGCTGTTCTTCTGTGGGTGACAGTTCTGTAGCTTAGGCAGTCTGTGGGGACCACTGGTGGTGGTATCAGGATTTAATTCTTGTGCATGAACTGATTTTTTTTGTTGCCTATTTCCTATGGAGGGATACCTTGCTCAACCTTGTTACAGGGGGAGGGACTTGGTCCTCCCTTAACTTGATGTACCAGACTTCATTGACTCCCCAGGGAAGGCCTTACCCTTTCTGAGGAGTAGATGGTGGGAGTTGGGTTGGAGGAAGGAGGGGAGAAGCCCAGAGGAGGGGAAGGAGGGAAAGAAGAGGAAGGGGGTACTGTGGTTGTTATATAAAATAAAATAAAAACTTTTAAATAAAAGTTTTTAAAAAATATTGCCTTGAGAACTTAGATTTCAATATTTGAATCATTATATTTTGTTAATCATAGATGGTTTTTTGTCTCTCAAGGATTACACTTCACAGATTCTAAAGTAAGTTTTACTTCTTTTTCTTTGTTAAGGCTCACCTTGACTTTATCTTGTCCCATGGACCTGAAGAACTTTCCAATGGATGTTCAAACATGTACAATGCAGCTGGAGAGTTGTAAGTAACTGTTATTAATACTACTTGCCTATGGTAACCATTGGCATACCACTTTTAGTATACCAATAAGGAATAAATATTTGCAAGGCTTACTCTCCACAAATTTGCCAACGCCCAAGGTCTTAATGGAGGGTAAATGTTTAATAGGAAAAGCTCATTATTAGTACAGCAAGACAAACTTTCAGTTCAAAATGTTAAAGAAATTTCCTTTCAGACAAAAACAAACCCAAGTCTGGTTTAGTAATATTTTCTATGAAACGAAAATTTTCCCTTTGATAATTGTGATTATTAGCTTGCTTTCTTTTATAAAGAATCATGGTTTAATTACAAAATTATATTTCTTTTGTCATATACTCATATAGATCAAAGTATCCAAAGGAACACTGGAAGGAAGGGATGGTTGCTTTGAGAACAGACACAAGGCCCTTAGCCATAAGAGAATTCAAAAAGGAGAGGACAAAAGCTCAGTAGGAATATACTCACCTAAAATACTCAAGGCTCTGGTTTTGATACTCAGCAATACAAAATGTATAAACAAATGAATAGAATGTTAAAGGGCATAAATTGACATGGAATAAGAATTGGCATCTTCCTTAGATAAGCAATGGCTACACTAAGACATGTTGAAGTAAATAGAGCAATACCATCTCCTTTGTCTCCTTTATGCTCTGACTTTGTTGCCACTAAAATCATTGACATGTGCCATAAATTGTTGTGCCTCCAAGGTAAGGGGATTTGCAGTATAAGATACAGGAAATTTCCTATGGCTTGCACTTGTCAATTTCTCTATTTACAGAATCCAAAAACATAGTAAGTGATATTGATTTACAGTAAAGTGGGACTCAGATATATCAAAAGAGTCTTATCTAAGATTTAAAAAACTTCAGTCAGCATATTTGCTTTGTCCCATTAAGTATTTGTTGGAGATAGCTAGAATATATTCATATAGATTAGCAATGGGGGAGATAAGTTAGCCATTGCATATTTGGACTATCAATATTTAAACATGAGCCATATTCCAGTTTGCTGCTTTATATAAAGATGAAAAAAATAAACACCAAATCAATTTACCATGGATTTTTAGATGGGGTCAGTGAGTTTCTATTTTGTAGTAAGCAAGAATAAGAATTTACAAACTATAAATATGCCACAGTTATTAGCCAGCTCAATCTTCGTAGAACATTGTTTGTTCACACTAGTTTGCCTTCCACAGTTCAAACATCAAGAAATAAAAACAAGGAGGTCAGAGAAATAATGAATGGCAAAATACTAGTTGTCATTTCTGGAATGGAGAAATGTGCAGACACACTGACAATTAATGATCCAATTAGCTATGATTTCTATGATTCTAACCATATAACAATTGGACCTTATGAAATAGGGAGCCTGCTTTACTTCATGAGAATAATGAGTGAGGCAATTTAGCAGTGAACATATAACTGTTCTTACGTGATTTGTTTTTGTTTTGAGAAAGGGTCTCATGTAGACTTGTCTGGCATTAGACATACTATGTAGTAAAGGATAACCTTGAATTTCTGATATTCCTGCCTACTCCTCTACAGCCATGTGCCACCACTTGCTGTTTAACATAGTGTTTGGGATTGAACCTAGGACCTTTTCCATGTTAGGCAAGAACTGTATCAATGGTGATAACACTCAGCTCCTGTATCAGTGTTCTTGGTTACGTATCATGCAAGGTCCTCTTAAATGATTTGCCTATAGCCTTTCACATTTGCTGAAATGACTGAGAATTTACATTCAGTAATTAACATAAGTTTACTACAAGTCAAGCTAACATTCCATAAGGAGCCAAATGTGCACTGGTAATACTAGCAGGCTGGCCTATAATGAATTCATTCTCATTAAACATTTCAAAAGGAATGGTTTCATTTGAAATACTAAGACAGGCACCTTGAATTGGATTGTCTTATTGAACTGTCATAGACACAGCTCTTTCAAGTGAAGAAAATCTTCAAAGGGTTTTGCTGTTTGTTTACTTGTTTGTTCTTCAGAGAGAGTTAGTGAATAAAGAAGCAGGAGATGAAAGATCTTATAAACTCCTTTTTTCTTGTTAATCACACACACATACACACACACTAATCAGAAATATCTTGCTGTGTTCAGTTTCTCTGCATGTGATGATATGTGGTTGTTGCGATGGCTGTAGTTCTTGTTAAGACTGGACTTGAAATGTTTTCCCTGCTTGTCAACTTCTGTCTATAGATTTTGCTGTTTTCTAGGAAAGATACATGGTTTGTTACTATTTCTTTCCTCCAGTTGGGTACACCATGAATGACCTGATATTTGAGTGGTTAAGTGATGGTCCCGTGCAAGTGGCTGAAGGACTTACCCTGCCCCAATTTATTTTGAAAGAAGAAAAGGAGCTTGGCTACTGCACAAAGCATTACAACACTGGTAAGCTTTCCTTTCACTTGCTAACTCCAACTGCTCTAATTTACATATCAAATCAGAATCCTATTATCTTAATAGTTGCCCATTCATGAAGCAAATGGAGGTTAAAGGAATCCTCTTCATATAGGGTTCCTGAAGCCATGGGATAGGCCTCTGAGTGCAGCAGCTCATCTCCCCCAAAACACAGAAGAAAGAATAAGGAATCCTTTGCTTATTTATTTATTTACTTATTTATTTTTCGTTTTTTATTTTTATTTTACATATCCATCCCAGTTCCGTCTCCCTCCCTCCCTTTCTTCAACCCTCCCATGCCTACCGACCACCCTACCATCCCATACCCCCCACTCCACATGTAGGGTGATGCCTTCCAGGAGGGGTCCTCTATATCTGTCAAGTCATTTGGAGTAGGGACTAGGCCCTCCCTCCAGCCTCTAGGTTAAGGGAGTATCCCTCCATGGGGAATGTGCTCCCAAAGTCCTTTTGTGCACCAGGGATACATCCTGGTTCTACTGTCAGAGGTTCCTTAGACTGCCCAGGCCTTCTAACTGAGACCCATGTTCATGGGGTCTGAGTTGGTCCAATGCTGGATTCCCAGCTATCAGTCTAGGGTCCCATTAGTTCCTCCTTGTTCAGGTCAGTTGTGTCTGTTGGTTCTTTGTAACCTGGTCCTGTCCTCCCTGAGAGTTTGCTGTCAACTGAGTCTGAGGAAAAGTGTAGAAGACCTCATTAGTTGTGGAGAAAACATAGATCATGGCTGTTCCTTGCATCCACTCTTCACATTGAACTCTTAGTTCAATTTGCATTCCTGACATTGGCTAAAGAACATGATAATGACATAGGTCTGTGGAAACCCAGAAATAGAGATGTTCTCTGCAGTCCTGGAGAACAATATGAGTATGGATGAGCATCATCTTGAGAGAATTCAGCTGGCTCTAAAGTCAGGTGCTATTTTTAGCACTGAAAGACCTATGTGGTGGGCCGAAGTTGAAGTAGTGGCAACAAGTGGGTATCTGTTGTTTCCTGGAAGATTATACGGGTCCAGGAAATATTGTGTCTTTTATTGCAAATGCTCTGGTTTGTTGACAACATGAAGTCTGTTGGTAGCGAGGTAGTCATCAGTACATGCCTTGGGTTTCTTGAGAGCCAAACAGCCCAGAGGAGCCAACAACAGCTGCTTATGAAGTCAATAAAACCTGATTCCAAGGAATTCTTCCCAAATCTTTATTCTTTGCATAAAATAATACAAATAACCTTCCAGAGTCTAACTCAAAGCCAACAAAGGAGAAAAAATGTGTAAATATGCAAGAACATCAACCTCTTCCTAGTAATGATAAAAGTTATAGCATCTTCTTATGCCTTCATTTTTATAGATGACTTAATGTTATAAACATTTTCTAGGAATGAATACTCTTAAGTGTCTTCAAGAATTTCCAAAAGGGTAGAAAGATTTCGCAAAAACCAGGGTGTACACATATTCTATAAATGTACTCTTTGGCTTTACCATTGAAAATATAAAGATATACAGTTATCCAAATACTCCAGATGGTCTTGTAACCACTTAGAAGGTGTTGAGGGACTGGAGTCTTAGTTCATTCAGTGAAGTTCTTGTCATTCAAGCCTGTGAACCTTAGATCAATCCTCAGCACCCAGGGAACGGTGGCACATGATTATAACTCCAGCAGTGGGGAGGTGGACACAGGTAGTCCCTACTCTAATTTGAGAGCCCCAGGTTCCAGTGAAAGACTGCCTCAAAAACCAAGGTGAAAGGCACCTGAGGTTGATCTCTGGTTCCACAAGCATAAACACACATGTGAACCCAGCACACACACACACACACACACACACACACACACACACACACACAAATTGGTTTCAACTGTTCCATATTACTTGAAATTTTATATATTGCACTGTATATAGTATATCTTAATGGTTACACATTATGTGTTATATGTCACATATAGCCCAAGCATTCTTAAAAATTTTTGTCAGTCTTGCAAATGCCAAAGTCCTATTTAAATAATCTGGACTAGATCCATATTATATGATTTCAGCCTGAAAACTCTTTAGCTCCCTTATGCCTATACTATTATTTCCATTACTAGAAGAATTGGAAAACTTCAATTGATCATGTAAGGTGAGCATTTGTCTGCAATCTTCACAGTCTGCTTCTGGTGTTCTTCCTTTATCAAAATAGAATAGGAAAGTAGAATGGGGAAAATTATTTCAATTAAGACTTCAAATGATCCTTTTCTGTTTTCAGGCAAGTTTACCTGCATTGAGGTCAAGTTTCACCTGGAACGCCAGATGGGATATTATTTGATCCAGATGTACATACCAAGCCTTTTGATAGTCATCTTGTCCTGGGTCTCCTTTTGGATAAACATGGATGCGGCCCCTGCCAGGGTTGCTCTTGGCATCACAACAGTCCTGACAATGACTACCCAGAGTTCAGGGTCCAGGGCATCTCTGCCAAAGGTAAGAAATACCCTGGCTTGAGAGATTCTCCAAAGGTCTTATGGACCAGATAATTCTGTGATAAAAGAAATTTTGCCATTCCACTATACAGTTGGAAAGAAAGTGCATTAAGAAAAAATGTTGTGATTGAAAGTATCAAGACTGATAATATGGGAGACCCTCAATATTCTATCATTTATATGTAAGGCAGGTCTTATACTGTAGCAAATACTGGTTAAATAATGAAAACTGTCCTTAGCGAATGCCCTCAGCTCCTTAGAACTGTACACATATGTATTTTTTCATTTTGAAGAGTACATTGAGCCATTGGCTTCATTGCTCTGTGAGCGTGAGTTTTATTTAGTATTCAGCATACTCACTCTCATGCTGGTTGGATGATTTCTCCAAAATCCAGTTCCAGAAAAGAATTGAGATGCAATCCCTTTGCTTGAGCTTATTTTCAGTTGTGTTATATTTAATGTGATGACAAGTGTTAGAGCATGTACCATGCTATCCCTGGTGTTTGCAAAATAAGATCACAATATAGAGAAGACTTGCAGCTGTGACACAGGTGAAATAAATACCAAGGAAATTATTGTACAGCTTAATTTAGTCTTATACTTCCAAAAGGTAAATATGAAACTTCTATCCTCAAATTGAAGAAAGTGTCCTATCACTGACACCTTCTAAAACATTTTGTGGAATAACAAATAGAATAATGTACTTTGTCACTTACGTATTTCAGTACAGATGCCAGAAATACCCACAGCTTTTCTGAGCTACATAATTGCTGATCCATTTTAGTTAATAGAAATTATAATCCACTCAATGCCTTCGTGCCAAACAGGTTCATTTGCTTATTTCACTCTAGCTATTACTTACTACCGTCATGGCATGCCATTAAACTGCAAGATGCACAAACACATATTTTACAATTTAATAGACAGCCAAAGTGCTGGTGAGAAACTATGAGCAGATAATGTTAAAACAGAAGGCATTTAACTTGCAACTGCCCATTGCAATGAAAAGAGACATCACTTATTTGCAAAATGAGATTTTGAGTTTTGTAAATGTGTTATTCATTCTAGGGAGCTATTATGACTCTGTAGCAACAGGCAAAACTATTGCTAAGTAAATGGCCACTGATCAGTGATACTTTCCTGTAGAGACAATCAGGAACTCAGAAAGATAAACAAAGAGGGTATAATTTAAAATAATTTTATACTTGGCTTTGAACACATAGTGGTTAACCTTCTGCCACCAGCAGATTTCTCTTCCTCCATGTGTTTTCAGGCTATTATTAAGCATAGTCAACTCTCAACTGACCGTGAAAAGAAGTGACTCATATGTGTGATGGAGAGAAAGTGGGATTAAAGCACGCGTCATGGAAAATGAAAAATCCCAACTATATACTTACATATACATATACATAAGTATTATTAATTTATAAACACTACAGTTCCTGAACAGATGGTCCAACTGCTCCAAAGCCTACTGTGACACTCTGTACAGAATACACAGGTACATTTTACATATTTATAGAAAGACAGAATCATTATTTCTGTTCACTGTCCAATAAATAACTGTTGTTAAGAAATTTATGAATACACTTCACTTTCATTTCCGCTTACATCTATGGACAAACACCTTTATTTGTATGCAAAGAGAATTGAGATGCAAGTTTTATGTCATTCTATGCTATGTCATTTCTTAGGGTCTTAAAAATCTATTGTGAACATATCTTCTTTGCAGTGGTACAGACTGAATCTAGTTCTACACACATTAGGCAAGCAATCTACCACTGATGCATACCCTCATTCCATAAGCAATCTCTAATGACTTAGTAATAGTCACCTCAATGTGTCAGTCATTTATTTAACCATCTTATCTATTTAAGGGCTTCTTTTCTTCTTTTATAAGTATGAAAAATTATATATACAATTATAAATACATTTACATGTGAGTATATTGAAGGTTTTCAGCAGAGTGAATGGGTAAAGATGTATGGGAAAGTAGCAAAGAGCATGTACACACCATGGATACAGGCACTTGTTCGGTCTCATTGCATTATGCTCAGCACCTAAAATTCATGGGGCTGAAATTCGATGATTAACGAGTCCTTACTGCCTATTAATAAATAAATGAACAGTCATGGACCTGCCACATGAGACCATGTATAATATAAAGCAGAACAGAAATAGAATCCAAGCATGAAAATTTACAGAAAACTTTAGTATTATTTTTTGCTTGCTTTATTTATTTATTGTAATTTTCATGCATCCACATAATAAAGTTTGGTCATTGTCACCTCCCAAGTATCTTATTTCAGCATCCCCTTTCTTCCTGAAACTAGTTTTTCCCCCTCAACAAGTCTGACTCTTACTTAATGTCTTTATTTGTGTGTGACCCACTAGGTAGGATTGCTTACATGAGCATGGGCTAGAGAGGATATTATGGAGCATGTACTGCAGTGAATTATTGTGTGCAATTGCTAGAGTTTTAATATAGGGGAAATGTTGTAATAATATGGTATGTACCATAAATAAACGTGATTTCCCTAATATCATATATCTACTGTTTAATAAAATTTCCCAGCAGACTCTGGAAAGTTTAGAATGCATGTATGAAGATACACTATAGGCAAGCCTGGATTTCAGTGTTAGGGCTTTCATTCCTCCCCATTTCTCTAAGCCTTTTTTACTCATTTCTAAAATAAGAACATCTTTAGTTGCCCTTTTCAAATATTAAATAAGGACAAGATGAAGCACTACCTGTATAAATTGTTTATCCCACTTTAGACATGATAAATACAGAACTCTCTTTAGTTATTGTTGTTACTTTCCCCCCATTCATGCTGTAGTAAAAATGATTGCTCACAGAGATGGCATAGTGTATTAGAAAATTTGCAAAGAGGCTTATGACCAGAAGGTACCATAGTAAGCATATGTTTGCATGTATGCACATGCTGGTGTTTTTTTGATAATCTTATGAATAAGTTAAGATGCAGAGGGTCTGAATAAACAATGACTTGGTTGTCTGGCAATCACTGCCATTGAACATATTCAGTTGGCTCTGTGTTCCCTTCACTTGGAGGACATCTGAGTATTCCACTGATTGTCAGTAATAATATGCCAGGACATGTGACATCCCCCTCCACACAAACTCACATACATGCTTTATAATTGAACAGATGACTAAAGCAAAGGTGATATATACATTAAAATGTTGCATTATAAATTTTTAAAAAAAATGTTTGTTCTGTAACAAAACCTATCTCATAGACAGTTCAACATTTTTTTCCTGTCTTCTATCTCAGTCCTCAACTTTGTCTTAAACCTGTGAAGCAATATAGAACACATTGTTTTTTCCACAGTTCATCCACATGTTTGTGGAATTCCCCTATTCCTGTGACTGATTTGACCATTAGTGAAGACTGGAGGTCTAGGGAATGGTAGAGGGTTTTATGTGACTGAACAGTGAATTTTAGCTACAAGTGCTTTTTATCACTGGAAGCACTCTAATGCTTGACTTGAGCTCAAGTTCCCCAAAATTTCTAAGTGACGTCACATACCCAATCATTCCATGTGAATAACAGACCCTTCTGAAACATCTTACCATCTTCTCTTGGTCATCATCTCCAGCATTATATCCCATGGAGTTTCTTTGTTACAAGTAGTTTTTTCACCTGCCGCTTGTCTTGTCCCGCCATTGCTCCAGCCCCAAATACAGCATAGAGACTCTGTATTCGATGTAATTCTGTTGGCCAGTTACTAGTTTCTTATCAGCTAGCTCTGTCTTAAGTATTAACCCATTTCTATTAATCTAATTATTTCCACATGGTCTCATCTTACCGGAGAATCTGCTCTCCCCCATCTCTCCATGTTGACTCCTCCTTATGACTTCCTCTTTCATCCTTGTCTCCTAGTCCCACCTATCTTGCTTTCCTATTGGCCAACAGTGCTTTATTCATTAACCAGTATGAGAAACATATTTATAGAATGACATCTCCCATCAGTTTTTTATTCCAATGATTCCCATATTTAAGAAGATATTCTTACTCTCTGACATGCTGCCAAGTTGACTCATATTTGGCTACCTTTCCCACCATTTATTTGGCCCATTAAGATCTAAGGTATTTTTGTCTTGAAACACGTTAATCAACTATTAACCTTCCTGATTCCACCCCCCCCTCGTTGGATTTTCTAGCAAAACTACTGAGGACACATGAGATGCTTTCAGAAGAATTCTTCTTTTCTGATCCTGGTAAACTTATTGAAATTTCAGCAGCACAGTAAATTCATGGCATCAGGAAAAGATATCAGTCTGTTCTATCACAAGAGCCAGGGTGAAAGATCTTCTCCCATCTTTAGAATAGGAAAGATGTTACAGCACTGACACTACCCCGTATTTCATTACTTTAATTAACTCTTTTCTACTTTCTTAAATTTTACTTTTATTTTTGATATTATAGTATAATTACATCATTTCTCCCTTAACTTTCCTCCCTCTCAGTCTTCCCATATGGTCTTCCTCTCTTTCAAATACACAGCCTCTTTTTTCCATTAATTGTACATCTATATTCCTAAATGTAAATAACCTGCTCAGTATGATATTGTTTGTATGTATGTTTCCAGTGCTGACCATTTGGTATTAGATAACCAGTTGGTGTGATCTTCTCAAGAGAAGACTATTTTTCCTGCTACCAACATTCCTTTGTTGCCTGTAGTTCTATGTGTGATATGGGCCTCCCTAGGCTTTTCCCTACCTACTTTGGCATGTCTCTTGGTGTCACCATTGGTATAAAGTATTAGGTATTATTGTCCTTAGAAAGTATTTGCTCTTAGAAAAACCTTGCCCCATCCCAGAAAGGCACAGTGATCCTGTAATATAACACCTTAGAAATTCTGAGGCAACAGAATTTTTTGTTGCTATATGACCATACCTAGAAATAAGGTTTGTTAATTTTAGACTTTCTCCCTAGGAGGGCAGGAACTACATTAATTTGGCCCATGTTCATGTAT